AATTTCACGATTTACAAATGAAACGCCCTGATATTGAATAAATCTGATGGACTAGTACCCATATCTCTGGTCAAATATAGTCACAGCAGTGAAATTAGAAACACTTTTTTGAAAATCGTCGCGGCAGCGGCGCGGTGGCGGCACGTTTATTTTATAATTCATCGCGGCAGCGGCGCGGCAGCGTTTCTTTTATAAGTCATCGCGGTGCGGCAGCGTCGCGGCAACATTTTTTTATAAACCGCCGCGGCGCGGCAGCGGTGCGGCAGCTTTTTTTTTCTAAGGCCGCGGCGCGGCAGCGGCAGATTTTCAGCCGCGATGGACATCTCTGCTGTACTGTCAAGCTTTTTCGAATAGTTCGAGAACGTCAGTAGTTAAAGATGTACACTTTTCATCATTCGAAAGATCCTGGTATGAGATATAAATCTATGTACTTACATATTGATCAATCATTCCACATCAGGTATAATAAATTGCTCGTACTCTACATATTTAACTCCTAAAACAAATTACTCACATATAGGATATAAAATAGACACGAAGTCTTTGCATCAGTTCAATTTAGCAAACTTTAATACCAACATGATTTTTGAAAAGGAAATCGCCGGTTTTGATTTTTTCAAAGGCCCAGTTGCCTTGCTTTGCTCTACTCAGAGATGAAAATCACAAGTATCTAACTACTTACATTGTGAAGTTATTCAAAAAAAAGCAACAAGGTACATTATACTTTTAAATGAATATTAGATCTATCGTGTCTTCTATATCACACTTTATATTGCAGTCATTAGTTGTTTGTTTCAATTAATCTAGATGATCAAATTTTTAAATATAAGAAAGATAGAAACTTTATTGTTGCTTGTAAAATATTCTAAAGTTAACGATATTCATCAAAAGAATTATATATATTTCAAGGTTAAAAACTAAATTCACTTTCAATTTTCAATCAAATAAACTGTTTCACATGTTATTCTAATGTTTTTTTTATGAGTTTGCTTGTAAATCAAAAGTATTTGAATGAAAAAAATTTTGCATATTAGTATTTATACCAATACAATAATACTGATAAAGAGTAATTAAGAACAAACAAAATTTCATTTTAATGGATTTCATTCAACTTTTAACAATGCAAAGATTATCGATGCAAACGTTTGTGCGAAATTTATCAAAATCCTTAAGAAAACCAAAGTCGAATTTAATTGATTATTAAGCAACGAATCGAACGGAAATGTCTTAATGAATTTTGTAATCATCATAAAAAATACTGTTTCCTAGAAGAGTGACTTTTTTTAAAATTTTTGCTATGCAAATGATTTTTTTAGTTCATTTGAAACTCATGTTATGGAAGTATTAACATTTTCTGTTAAAAATACTTTTGAAATGATGAAAAGTCGAACTAATACAACACTGCACCATTATTTATATGTTTTTATTTATGTTATAAAAATATTTCTTATAGTTCAAATTCAAATGAAACTTCGATTTATATTCCTTTCGTAGAATATATTCAAATATTGATAGAAAAGTCGATATAAACTAATTAACTATGCTTTAAATATTTTTCACGTTGTATATATACATCGGATGAAGTAATGACATATTCATGGTAGAGTGATTCATAATTATTCAATTGAAAGTTTTTTTTTTTTGAGTTATTACTACACAATGAAATTTTAGAAACAAATAGAAAATTCGATAACCGAGAAGAATATTTAAGACATATTCAACAAACTAAGATAGAAATTGATTTCGATATTTTGATGAATGAAAAACTAATTAATTTTGTTTAAAAATATAATTTATCATCCACTATCATCAAGAATATTCTTGCATTTAAAGACTCATTCTCAGACGAATAAATTGTGCATAGAAAGTGATTGAAAGAAGACTTTTTAAATAAAATATCCAAGTTGAAATATGAGTTGTACTACGAAAAATAAAATTGATGTTAAATTTTCTTTCGAATTTTTTTAATATTTGGTTCCTGACACGAGACACATGCATCAGCTACTCAGAGCTAGTCGCTTTATTTATTATAGCAACTGTTAAAGTCTATTGATAGAAACTTTTTAAAAAGGGCTGTACATTAGATGATGAAAAGTTAAGAGAATGAATCTAATCATTCACAAACGTATTCTTTGTTAGATATTGTTTGTTTTTTTTATTATCTCTTTTTGATAAATATCTGTCAAATTTATGAGTCAAATTGTGATTGAAATTTATTCTATTATAGCGATGAATATTGAAATACTTTTGGTTGATAGATAATACATGCACTATAGTCTGCAACTAGAGCAATTTATCAAAGTTTCTTTATTTCTTTGAAGTAATCAGTGCAAAAAATGTGACTTTCTTACGAATAGAGATCTGCGTGACCAATTTGTCGTGACCAAAAAAAAAAGATTATTCGATAATAGTTTCCGTGATGGATGTGGAAAAATAACTCTACTTGATATTTTGTGTTCAGAATTTTATGCTCTTTAAAATGACATAAAAAAGGCGAGGATATAATGATCCACAGCGGGAGAAAACTGCAGCACATTCGTCGTGACCAGAACACGTCGTGGCTGGCCGTGACCAAAACTGGTCACGACGAATGTGCTACAGTTTTCTTCGCCGTGGATCATTATATCCTCGACTTTTTTATGTCATTTTAAAGAGCATAAAAATCTGAACACAAAACATCAAGTAGAGTTATTTTTTCACGTCCGCCATGGAAACCGTTATCGAATGATCTTTGTTTTTTTTGGTCACGACAAATTGGTCACGCAGATCTCTACTACTGATTGATATTGATTTTTTTTATGGATGTTAATTATTGTTAATTGCAATTGATTGCTATTATTTGTTTTTTGCCATGAATAATTGCTCGGTATGCTCATTGATTGCCGTTAGTAGATGCTAATTATTG